TTATATTATAATTATTTATTTAAACTTTATTGACCTATAAAATGATGTAAAAAGTCGGACTACATATATATACGAGGTCTGTCCGGAAAGTTCGTATAAAAGTGTTCTGGAATGCGAGAAAGAGGAGTGGGGAGGCCAGGTAAGCGCAGGACCCCTTCCTTATGTCCCTAACAATGCTACAGTTCTGGTCTGACCGCCGTGCGGTGCGATGGCTTGTCACGCCATCTGTGAAGTTACCTCTAACGAAACCCCGTCGGCATGGAGCCCGCTTCCGTTGAAGAGCAGCGCGTCGTAATCAAGTAAACTCGGCAAGAATAAAGCAAAGAGTGGAAGACATCCGGGGAACCACGAACAAAAAAATCAAGAAAATCCCGCTCAAATGTCAAGACAATGTTGATTGTTTTTTTCGATGTTCGGGGGGTTGTCCATCAAGAATTCGTCCCTCCAGGCCAGACAGTTGATGGAAAATTCTACGTCGATGTGCTCAGACGCCTCAAAGCTCGTGTGGCACGAGTTCGTCCAGAATTGGCGCGAGAGGGGCGTTGGATTCTTCACCACGACAATGCCCCTGCCCACACCTCTCTTGTTGTCCGTGAGTTTTTGAGTAAAAATTCCATTACGGTGACCGAACACCCCCCTATTCGCCGGATTTGGCCCCGTGTGACTTCTTCTTGTTCCCAAAAACCAAATTGGTACTTCGGGGGCGGCATTTGGGGGACATAAATGAGATAAAAAAAGCTACGACGGGGCAGCTGAGAAACCTACAACCAGAGGACTTTCAAGGAGCCTTCTCACAGTGGAAACGGCGTTGGCACAAGTGCATTATGTCACAGGGGGAGTACTTTGAAGGGGATAAAATTGATTTACCTGAATAATTGTAAAATAAAATTTTTAAAAAACTTTTATACGTACTTTCCGGACAAACCTCGTATATATACACCACTGAGGTGGCAAACAAGCATACGGCCCATCTGATGGTAAGCGGTTACCGTAGCCTATGAACGCCTGCAATACCAGAGGTATTACGCGCGCGTTGCCGACCCTGAAGAAACCTCTTTACCCCCTTTTGAAGAACCCCGTATTGTAGTCTCTTGGGAAAACCTACTGCATACCTGATATATACTTACAGCATTATTGTAGTCATTCTCTATCAGTCAAATTTTACAATTATTATTTATTCAAAAAGAAGAAAGTTCTCGATTGGGTTGAATTTTTTTATATTTTTATGTTTACCTCATAACTCCATCAGTAAATAAGATAAATATAAATAAGATAAATAGTTTGTAAATAAATAAAAAAAAAATAGCCAATAATATGTTCCTTTTTGTATAATATTGGTATGAAAAAATTTGTAACGATCGACTGAGCCAGTAAAACGTCAAGAAGCAACAAACAAACAAATTCACTTTCGCATTTCTGTATATATTAAAAAGGATTAACTTCAGGGTTGCCAGTATTACTAGCGACACAGCCGTAAATTGTGCTAATGAATACGGGCTCTTATCTAAAGAAACCGAACCGAGCCAGAAACTAATCGGGCAATCCCGAAGTTTATTACGGACAAAAAAGTGTTTTATACAAGGTTGAATTAAATACTTACTAGCTTATTATCATGACTTCGTCCGCGTGACTAGGTCATATTTATTGCCCGGAATAAAAATTAGTCTCCATCGTATATAATACGTGTATATCAAGTATCATGATGATTGGTTGAGCCGTAAAGGCGCTTAGATGTAACAAACAAACAAATTTACTTTTCATTTTATTAATAAATAAAATTATAATTAGACGATATCTGTACATGGTAGTTATTTAAAAATTTATATGTGAATTTTTTAATAAAACCAATAAATGCCATATATAATTTTTTAAATTTTTGTTGTAAATTATTATTATTTACTAGCTGTATCCCGTGGCTTCGCTCGTGTGAAATACCCTATGTGCTAAGTTAAGATATAAACTATCCGTGTACTAAATTTCTTTCAATTCCATTCAGTAGATTTTGCGTTAAAGAGTAACAAACATGCATCCACACATCTTATAAATTTTCGCGTTTATGTATATTTTTTCACCAACACTACACAACCGTGTAATGGGTGCTTGCTTCCAGGTAAGTAAATCGTCAGATAATAATAATATTAATAGGATAATTTAAATTAAATTAAAAAAAAATATGTTAAAAAATTGTATGTAAAAATTTGTGGTATTATAACTGGGAATAAACTCGTACCCATATAGCAGAGACGTAGGTTCGAATCTGTCAATTTTATTTTATGAAATAAGAGTCCTAATAAGTTATCACTGAAGGCAAATATTAAAAAATAACAAAAGCAAAATGGCAACGCGAGCGTAAATCTGACACCCCACCTCGGCACGTCGAGCATGAATCATATTGAGGGTTAAGGATCCCGAATGGTTCCAAAATTAATCGAGTATTCTCGAAAATATAATGTACGTAAGTCAATCCAGTTTTTACAGTTAAAGTATCTATTTAATTTTATATTTAAAACTTATAACTTCACTATGGTATGTACGCAAGCGAAACTATTCTAAAAGATATAGTTATTCGATGTCACCATGAAATCATAAATAAGTCACTTCATTGTTTCCAAACAAGTCCTCTAGAACCATCTACATCTATGGAATTGAAGAAAAGAAATTGAATTCGCTTTCAAGTTCTTGAGTTTCATTCTAACAATATTATAGGTACTATTAAAATATACATGATCATTGTACAAGTAATTCTGTTAAAACAAATTGAGGTTATTTTTCCCACTCCGCTACTTAAGTTCAACGAATGCAAATGTAAGAATTTCAATTAGAGACAATTTTAAAATATCTTTACAGAGTATTGTACGAGATATTTTAATATTGTGTTCAATTTATATTCTAACTGAACGATGTAACTTTAATTAATTTAAACAATTTTAAAACTAGTTTGAATGTAGACATTATATAAATTTAATTTAATCAAAATATGTATTTAAGTTTTTCTTTAAATTACTTTTTTTCTTAGATTAAAATATGTATCTGTTTATTTCCTCGGATAAGTTCTGAAAATATAGTTTGAATTCATCATTATGAAGCGATTTCAAAAAAGAGGTTTCTTAAGTCTTTATTTAGAAGAGGAAGGCATTAAATATTATTTACAATTTATAAAATTTACAAATTTAAGAATATTATTTGTATTCTTAAATTTGTACATTTTTTAAATTTGTTTAAATTTACCGAGGAATCACAAACATAAATGATTCAGTTAGTGGATCCAGTATGTTATTTTCACGACCCGGCTTATATAATTTAAACCGGGTATCAAGTAACAATTTATAATGAAGCCACATAAGTCATGGATAATATTGTAAATCTAAATTAATATTAACTGAAGCGTGATTTAATTACAGTTTCTAAAGTTACTTGAATGTATATTAATATGACATAACTTTCACGGCTAACAGTAAGTTAGAAAGTTATATCACGATATTCACTAACATGTAACTAAAACCGTGACGTATGCAATGATTAACACACGAGAAATAAACAGATTTAAAAATTTTGAAAACAAAATTTTATTTTATACCTATAATATTATTTTGATCTATATACTTAATAGTAAAAATAATATTCAAAATAAAAAAATATAATTATTACTAATATTATAAACGTGAAAGTGAATTTGTTTTTTACATGTTAGCACCTTAACGGCTTAACAAATCACTATGAGACTTGGTACACACGTATTAATTATATGGAATGAAGAACGCACCAGGATAAAATATAGCGAACGTTTTTGTATATATATATATATATATATATATATATATATATATATATATATATATATATATATATATATATATATATATATATATATTTTATTTATTTATTTATTTAATGGATGATAATGTAATGGCAACCCCACCCGCGCTATTGGTATACACCGGCGGGGCACCAGTGAAGGATGATAGATTAACCATGATAGTTTCCAGGGAGAACCGCGAGTAGGTCGACCTGGTTGGGTATATTGTTAGCAATAGGATTCTCAATTAACGTATATATTATCAATGGACAAAATAAAACGTTTTAATAAATTTAAAATATTATTTATATTGATATTTAGATCAAAATAATAATACGAATTACATAACTGCATTAGTGGTTTGCCACAAAACCATAGTGGATATAGCCACATTATTACAATATTATTAAGCACATATAGGCATTTATTCTGTTCTTATCTTTCTCTCTCCCTGTGTCTTAGTTATACCAGATGGGTGCATATATTTAAGGGCAGTACTAATCCCCTATGGGCCTTGGGTGTAATATTTACAAAGAGTAATATTTTTTTACAACCCCGCACCTACGTTACCACAGAATGCGTTTTTCAAGGCACTTTCTCCCACGCACAACCACTCTTTGGAATCAACTTCCAGCAGCAGTATTTCCGAACCGATACGACAACATAACCTTCAAGAAAAGAGCATATTCCTTTTTAAAAGGCCGGCAGCACACCTGCAATGCCGTAGGTGTTGTGGGTGACCATGGGCGGCGGTAGTCACTTACCATCAGGTGAGCCGCATGCTCGTTTGCCCCCTGTGTTGTAAAAAAAAAAAAAAAAAAAGAATGACTTTGTATAAAAGTCGTCTGTTTAGGAGAACCTCTGTTCCATTCCTGTTTCTACCATAAAACAGTTGTGTTTCGAGTTGACGGGTGGGATATGATAATGAAATTTCAGGGTACAGAGGGATAACACTTTAGTCCTCAAGAATGGCAACGCATGTGGTGTATCATAGGCGATACAGTCTACTCTGTTATTTTCATAGTACCATTTATGTCTATAGGTGACAGTTACCACTTTCCATAAGATGGACCGTCAGCTTGTTTGTTACTCTAACTTATTATTATAGAGATTCATTTACTATTAAAATAATTTACTTACACTTTAAGTCGATAAACATTTTTTTTTGGTATGAATAAATAGGTAGTCTATAATAAATACTTACTATTTTGGTTTTGTCTTTAATGCTAATCTTATCAATCCACGTTTTCAGTGGTTAGATGACTCGTACCTGTAAAGCATAAAGAAAATAATGGAATATTAATATGAAAAATAATTCATCATATTTGGGGAATAAAAAATTACAATCACATTCATGGTTTTTTTTTTAGATGGATGAAAATGGTATGGTATGACGGAGCACCAGTGAAGGGTGATAGATGAGAATTAAAACAGGCCAGTTAGCCCATCGTGATGAATTCATCAGAAATTAACCATGATAGTTTCCAGGGGGAACCGCGAGGTAGACCTGGTTGGGTATAATGCTAGCAATGGGATTCTCAGTCTCCATTACTAACAATCTCTTTCCCCCCTCACATTCATGGTTAGTGATTTCCAAGTATGCACCAAGGTGCGTAAGATAAGATTGTGTGCCAAAAAAATGTACTTCAATTGTGGCAAAACCAGTTATTTTGATGTAAAAACTAAACTATTATATTTAATTAAATATGATGAAATTTCTATGAGACGAATTTGTAAATATATCCTTTCAAATAAAAAATAAAGAATCTTTTAAATCGGTTTACAACTGACGGAGTTATGAGGTAACAAATATAAAAAAATACAATCGAACTGAGAACCTTCTTCATTTTAAAGTCGGTTGAAAAGCTATGGTTAATAGTTATTGAATACTTAACGATTCCCATGATAGTAACGAATGTACAAAACACCTGCGTTCTAATTCCGATACTTGCATTGATTCCATTTTGTACAAAACATAATAAAACTAAACCTTAAGACTACAACATAAGGTTTAATTAATCTTACGAAATTCACTTAGTAAGTGGGTTAATGGGTTATTTTTTTATTAATTGAATCGGTATATAGGGTGTTGCGGAAAGGGGAAAAGATATAACTATTCAAAAGCCAGCAAAATCATTTATGAGACTGAATAACTTGCCCAACCGAACGACTTAATATATTTCGACTCATGTTAATTAAGGAAAGTTTTCCAATTTCACGTACAATATCGTTTAATTTGGGATTTATTGACTGACTAGATTTACTGTATACTACAAAATTTAGTTTTAGATCAATACCAAGTAGATAATGATTACGGGCCTAAAATGTCTTTACAAAAAGTCGTGTAATATCGTCTGTAGAAGCTTGAGATTTGGTATTAAAGCAAGTGCTACATAATAGTTAGATTTCGAGAGAAGCTACTAAATACCTACAATTAGTATATTACAAAATGTATCAATGTATTCTTTGTTTAAATGGCCAGGAAAAAGCAGAAATACAAATAACCAAAAATGCTGTGATTAACTTAATCAAGATTAGCTATGGCAATTTATTAAGTATTTCTAAAGTATGAGTAGTAAAAACATCAGTATTTTTTATTTTTATAAAGTAGAAATAGATATCCTAAGAAAGACATCTGTAATTAAAAGACAAAATTGTGCACTAATTCATCTCAAAAGTAACTTCATTCTTTAGCATCCACATAACTTGAAAAAGTTAAGCAAATTCTAAAAATTAATTTTTGGTCGCAGTTATTAAATCCAAGTAACAATTAATAATTGGTCAGACCAAATTAAACAGGTACTAAAAATAAGCAGGCTTCCTCTTCCATGCTACAAGGGGATGTCCATGATAGTTTAAAAAAAGAGGTTTCAATAATTGTAAGTCCAGCAGCAGTATTTCCGAACCGATACGACAACATAACCTTCAAGAAAAGAGTATATTCCTTTTTAAAAGGCCGGCAGCACACCTGCGATGCCGCTGGTGTTGTGGGTGATCATGGGCGGCGGTAGTCACTTACCATCAGGTGAGCCGCATGCTCGTTTGCCCCCTGTGTTGTAAAAAAAAAATGAACTATTTTGTCCGACAAGATTCCCAGACATAAGGATACAATTGAGAAGAATTTGACAATGAATTTAATACACACGGAGTCGCGTGTATAGAATTTAATCAACTTACAATTGAACAACTTACCTCACGTGCTATAAAAACATAAGGTATAGAATATTGTAGCTGTTTAGGGTAATTTTGTGAGTCATCATAAGCCACGATCGATGTGAGCGGACAAAATGCTGGTTACCTATGTAACGAAACGACATAACCGGTTGTGGAGTCATCTTTATCAACTTTATTTAAATATTTTTTTTGTGTTCTAAATACAGTCTTATATTGGAAGAAAAGGAGCGTAAAACTGAATAAAACAAAATCTGTACAAAGTTATCTAGCAAGCGAGCTCATGATAAGTTAAACTAGAATCTTTTGAAGGCAGTAGTAAAGAGATCTATAATAGTTATATACCAATTTTAACATTAGGTTAAGACATTTTCTAATCCAATTTTAAAAGTTGTTACAATGCTAATTATAATGAAGATCTATTAAAAAATATACTCGGTAATGTATGCCAAGTAGACTACATTTTGGTAATCTATAGTATCAAGCACATTCGAAACAAGGTGGCACGACTAGCAGGGATTGTGTCTGGGGCTGTCACTCGAGTTAATTAATTCTATCAACAGTATTTACAGAACAGTTAAACTAACGGTATGTTTATATTTTTGACGTCAAAAATATTACTGTACCATGCTGCCAGTTTAATAAGTCTAAGTCTATTGTGCTTATTATTGATATTCAAAAATCAAGTTAATAGTGGATAATCCGATTATAAAGGACAAATATTTGCAGCAATGATTTACAATTTGAATAGGTGAAAAGCCATAATAATATTAATATGATATCCACTCCAGATAATATAATTCTTCTAAGGCTTTACTTAGACTTTACATTCTACTAATATTATGGAAACTTTGTAAAGACATATGTCACTCACGACTGAAAGGATTTGAAAGAAATTTAATATATAAGTGGAACACGTTCTAAATAGGATATTATTTATCCTAATTCACGCGAGCGAATACAGTTTGTACCTAATATACTCGTACCTATTTCAATCTATAATAAAGAGAAATCGTCTTTATTTGAACCAGAACTTTTTTAATTTCAGAACGAATTATTTTTCTTTTTAATAAAATAATATTATTAATATTGAATTAAATATTAATCGAATATGAAACAAATGAGAACATTTTCAAACCTTCGTTTCCAAAACGCAATCTATTTATAACAAGTCAGGGATAAATATTGAAAACGTGTCGTTAGTGCGTTTTAATCATGTTTTCTCTGCAAATAGCTCTTTAGTAATAATAGAACCAACGATTTCTATAACCTCCAAGTCTCCAAGATCAGTTTATTTCATAAGTCAATCTATAATTAGCTAAATGTAATCAGTGTTCGGTAATTTGCATGCGGCTACTAAGAATTAATAAAGGTTCACGCAAAATACAATTAGTTAAGTAATATTTTTAAATCGATAGAATTAACACGAATAATGTCTTTTTTTATTCTTAAAAAATATAACTGTAGTTTAAATATGTTACAGTGATAATATTAATATTATAATGGTAAATGGATCAATAATTGTGATTTAAGAATCTTACTACTAATATTTAATAAGTTTATATAATAACAACATCTGTATTTTTAGTAATATTAAGCCAAATAGTGTTCCGTTTTCACTTGATAAATAGATAAATTCCTTGACTTTAAAACAAACTAGAAATGCTAAGGACCTTAGTCTTTAAGACGAGGCATACCGACACACAAGTTCAGAAGTTCCTTGATATAGAAAGTAGAAACAGATTAAAAAAATATTTGAAATTTGAAAATCCCATTGGATCTAGCTACTAAGAGAGGATAAAATTTTAAGATTTTGAAATACAGCTTTGTATGTAAAAATATGTTCAATTTTTTTTTTTAATTCGCTTAGAATTTTAAATTAGCGTGAAGCGTGACTGAGTATCAAACTAGAGATATTTATGCAAAGTAACTTGTCTAACTGCCGAATTCGTCGACAGGGTTACGTAGTAACTACATATTTAATATTCTATAGTCTCAATTCTGAAGTTTTCAAATCGTTTGAATTTTTTTTCAAATTGATTTAAAAGTGTAATTTGAAAGAATGTTATCTATCTAAATTTCAATCTTCGTTCATTCCTATTCAAGGTTTGATCAATAGGTATGTTTATGAAGGTACTTATTCCAAAATAATAATATCTGCATTACTTATTGTTTAATAAGCACTAAATTTCATAAATATATTAATTGATGTAATTATCATTTTCTGCATTATGGGGTGTAAAGTTCCAGTAAGAATGTATGTAGTACCACAATTCCCATGAGAATGATATAACGGTCGATACAGCGTGGATGTGGTCGCGGGAAAATAATAGTATCAATTTTTTTTTCATTCTCTGCCACAATTACATCATGTGACGTGCTAGCGTTTTAAATAGATTTAACATGTGTATAATCTCATTAGAATGAGTATAACTTAAGATTTTTCTCGGCAAAAGGCAAAAGTTTTAATTGTAACAAAATTTAGACGAAACCAACATGGCAGTATACTTAAAATACAGAAAATGATTTTAAAATTGTTAATACTAAGTATGTTACATACAAAAATACAGGCGAACTAAGAAAATCCAGCTTATTGAACTCGCCTAAAAATATGTGAAGTGGTAGCTCCACATATGAATATATGGTCAAATGTAAATAAAATGTTGTTATTGAATTAATACACAAAAACAAATGTACCTGGTCTTACTTATTAGCTTTTGTCATCTATCAGCTTTTGTAGTGAAAGATACAATTGTACAAAAGTTCTATCGCAAGATTCTGCAACTTCATAGTAAACACAACCAAGACAATCGTACACTGAGCATTGTTTAAAACCAGTAGAGGTGGATGTTTTTGTACTTTTCACTAACGTGAATTGATGTATAAAGTTTGAGCAACTACTTTAAAATCGAATCGATTCACTCTATCATGAATAAACGGACGGATGGATGAAGACGTGATAGTTCGTTTTGGTTAACTGCCACTTGAAGCGAGGTCAGCGCACCACAAACATCGGGGACGCAATGCCATTCAAAGTTTATGGTGTTTTATCAAGGTACCGTTGAGGCCTAGTCAGTTTTACTGCTTACAAATACGAGT